AGCAAATAAAAGAAATGCCGGGAACATGCATTTTTTTCAAAATTTACTCGTCATTATGTGTTTATTTAAATTTTCTTGTTGACAGCCATTTTTATAAATATATGAATAAAACAATTCTTTTCATATTTAATTCTTTATAAAGTGATAAATAATGAATATTTTATTATAGTTGGTTAACATACTTTTGCAATTTTGTAAATATAAAATTACTCATGTAAACAGGCAATCTAATGAACAAATAGTGTTTATTATCTTTGTTGTCATTCCAAGATTATTCTCTTGGGTTCAATTTCTAAAAATCGCCCCCTCCCTAAATTTATGGACAAATCTAACAGATGCATGCTGGGAGTTCTTCATAACCAATAAAAATGAACCAATTCTTGGTCTCATCTGCAATATTTTTGTTCTTTCTTGTTTTGAAATCAGAATTCTATAATCACTTGGGAGTATCCCTTTTGCATGTGAACAGCATTCTTTGAGAACTATTTGCCTTATTACTGTTGATTTGCCTAGTTTTGTTTTGAATATTGTTTGCTTTTGTATTATTTTGCCCTGTTCTTATTCTTCCTTTTCTAATTGTTTATTGAGAACTATGTCAATTACGTTTGTTGAGTATTTTGTTGATTGGTTGATTCTTCTTCTTCTTCTTCTTCTTCTTCTTCTTCTTCTTCTTCTATATGCCGTATCCCTTCAGGATGTTCGCGGTCATAGCGCTCCACAATTTTCTGTCCTTTGTAGGTCTTAATAACCTTTTCTTTTTGCCGTTTCTCCAAAACCCTACTCTGTTAACCATTCACTCATTCTTGCCAAGTAGGTTATGTGTGGCTTTTATTTGTCTCTCTTACTTTTAACTAGTTGCCGTTGGTGTATCTTCTATTCACGTCTTGATCACCAACTTGTTGCGTTTGGTGCATGTTCAATTCACTTCGTGGTCACTATATGTTGCAGTACTGCACCTAGTTAGACTAAAAGCACTGGTAAACAAACTTTACACATGTAAATGTCGCGTCGTCATTGCTATTAGAGTTGTAAAGAAATGGAATAAATGTCAACAAGGCGATATTTTTAGGTGTTTTATATGACAATTGACTGATTAAGTAAATGAAAGAACATACACTAGTATGGTGATTTTCTATGCGTAGATTAGATGTGGCACAAGGCCGAAAGTATGGGGCACCTAGTGAGGATTAAACTCACTATACAAGCGTAATTGTTCTAACGAGATAGCTTCCTAACCATTGCACCACTTCAAGGCGCCCCTAGTATGTATGCAAATACAGCCGAAAAGAAAGAAGAAAAGTAAAAAGAGAACGAGGCAATACTAATTAAAAGTTAGCTATTAGGAATTGTGTGTATGTCTGTATGTGCGAAAGGGTTCAGTCACTCTGCGGAAAGATATCTCCATAGCTAGGAACGAGTCCCCTTCTGAAGTTACTTCTACCGTATGCAAAAAGGAAAAGAGAGAAAAAAATGGAAAAGAAACAAGTGTCCTATTTTTATAGCTTTTTAACAAACGCTACCTGACATTATCTTGGCGAATCTGGCAGAATTATGTATGATAACCCACACATTCAAATGAATGTCCTTTTTTACCTATAGCCTTCGTTGAAAACGTTGATTTGTATGTATGTGTGCGAAAGTTTTGTTTTTTTTTTGTTTTTGTTTTTATTGGGGGGTCGGAATAGTGTTTATTATCTTTGTTGTCATTCCAAGATTATTCTCTTGGGTTCAATTTCTAAAAATCGCCCCCTCCCTAAATTTATGGACAAATCTAACAGATGCATGCTGGGAGTTCTTCCTTAATTGTCCAAATTGTTCACTAGGGGTCGCTCTGCCTACACTATAAATACTGGGCGATTTATTGCCTCGTTCTCTTTTTACTTTGCATTTCAGCAGACACATTTAAAAGATGTGATCTCTCGCAGAGATTTACGTTTTTGTCCACTTGTGGGAAAATGCCATGAAACACACATACACGTACGTACGAACATTCACCAAAATACAAACTCTTTACGTTCACACACAAACACAAATGTTAATGTCTATGTCCATTGTAAATTTTGTTGACTAATACATATATTTTTGATATATATATATATATATATATATATATAGGGAACAAATAAATAAAGCAATTTCCACACCTAGAGAAGACGCCCTAATGTACAAGATCAAAAATAAATCTAGCCGCATTCCTCTAGTAACCACTTTCAACCCCACTCTGCCTCCACTATCCAAAAAAATCAAACGTCACTGGGAGATACTACATCTCAAACCAGACTTAAAAAAAATGTTTAAGGAACCCGGCCTTTTTGCATATCGTAGACCTAAGAACCTAAAAGAAATCATAGGTAGTAATCACATTTCAGGGGACAAGGTAATCCGTAATAAACTAAGAACAAAAACAACAGGATTTTCCCAACTATGTAACAACAAAAGAAGTTTATGTTGCAAACATTAAAAACACGAATTCATTCACTAGCTCAATCACTAAATCTACTTTCAAAATCTACCACGATTCTAACTGTAGAAGTCATGACATAATTTACCTCCTAGAATGCACACTATGCCAGAAACAATATGTAGGAAAATTTGAAGGGCTCTTTCACTACAGAATTAATAATTATCGTAATCGAATTAAGTCGACTCCCCATGAAAAATTATTACCTGTAGAACAACATTTCCGCCTGGAAAAACACGATTTCAAAACCCATGTCAAATTCACTATAATTGAGAGAATAGAAAAGTTCAGAGCAGATAACATTAGAAAGATTTTAGAGTTCCATGAAAATAAGTGGATACAACGTCTAAAAACACAATATCCAGCCGGGCTAAACCATAAATTTAACAATATAGATAGTACTAATATATAACTCAACAAATCAAAACCTACCCACATTTCTCACCCACACAAGACAGACATGCTTACGGAGGTCTTGAGGCTTCACACTTATACACACACCCACACGAATATACACACTTACACACATTATACTCACTCACTCCCTAATGAGCCAAATGATAACACACACCCACAGCAATACACACGCTTACACATATCATACTCACTCACTCCCTAAGAACCAAATAAAGCACAGACAAACACTAAACAGAGACACATCTCCTCTCCAGGACCCATAAAACTGTCAAACTGACCAAGGGGATTCAGGGAAGCATAGATCCATCCAGCTCTTATCTCAAATAACAACTTAAAAGAGACTGTTTATCCAACACAAAGAATGTTAAAAGATTCATGTTAAAAAGATAAAAAAATAAATAAATAAAACAAATGAAAACTACAGACAAAAGTTCATTTTCTCCATCAAGATATTCATTTCTGTAGTTTACTACTACCAGCAAGCAGAAATATTTCTTCTCCCGATGATGGCCATTTTGGACGAAACTAGTCGAGGAATCTAAATGAAATAATAATAAAAAAAAAAACGAAAGAATATTAATCTACAACCCAGTGTGTCTGAAGATTTTAATTTTTTAATTTTTTTTTATTGTTCAATATATATAACATCTGAGTCCGCCATGTTCTTGTCGTGAACCTTTTAATTCTAGTTCAGTTCAGCTCTGTATTTGAAATAGAGAAATATTGTTTACGACTTACTTTAAGGTTTACGGAATTGTCGCTCTTTGATTTGTTTTCACTTGTTCGAAGAGAATATTCTGCAGTTGAAATAAGTGGTTCTTAACAATCTGTGTTTATGTTAATTTCAATAATTAACATTGCGCTTGAAAGCGTATGAAAAAGATTCGTGTATTAAGTTGAATGTGGAAAACTTGAGTTGATTGTTCGTCATAAAATATTGCTGTGTGAATGAGTGTTCTCTCAGAATGGAATCATGTTAAGGAACTTTAACCTAAAGCCTGGAACTGTGTGACGAGTTCAAAGGATTCCGATCGGCGCACTGTCGAAGATGAAAGACGTTTCATATTTTATTGCTAACTTTGGTCACGTGATAGGCTCACAGAAGCTTGACAGGTTTTGGCGGAATTATTTTTTTGGTCAGGTCAAAAAGTAGGTCGATGAAATTAAATATTAAGTGACTAATTAGAAGTTGAGATTTTCTGAAAATATACATTAAGCTGAATAAGCTCTGTGATCCACTTTTTGTACGAAAATTGATATTGATATTCGGACATGATTTAAATATTAAGTGACCAATTAAAAGTTGAGATTTTCTGAAAATATTTATTAAGCTGAATAAGCCCTGTGATCCACTTTTCATACGAAAATTGATATTGATAAAAAAAAAAAAAGGTTGTAACGGGATGCTAAACACACATGTTCCTAATTTAACAGCACGTAAACCCACGGTCCGCTACAAGGAAAAACGGGTGTAAAGAATATTGAGCAACAAATTTCCGTAAGTCATGAGTGATATTGAGGAACTTACAGCTTATAGTTACCAAAGCCAAATGTAATATACTAGCCGAGCAGTAGACATAAGAGAGGGGTAACTTGATTTCTCTGTGATGGGTTGGTTTCGGGAAACGTTTTTTTTCTATTGTCATTATTGAGTCATCTATTTATTTTTATATGTGATCTGATGGACTCAGCTAAGATCTGAAATGATAGATGTATTTTCATTGAAAAACAGCTGTTTTTTCAGGTAGTATGCTTACGCTTCAGTGGGTAAACTGGACTACAAGCTATTCCTTTTTATTTTCTACAATCCTTTTTTTCTCCTTTCTACAATCCATATTTTTCTTTTCTAAAATCCATTTTCTCTTCTTTCAACAATCCATTTTTTCTCTTTTTACAATCCACATTTATCTTTTTTTAACAATCCATTTTTCTCTTGTCTACAATCGATCATTTTTTTCTTTCTATAATCCATTCTATTCTATTTCCTACAATACATTCTGTCCTACAATTTTCAATTCATTCTACAATTTATGAGTGTTTCTTTTTTGCAATTTATAACTTTCTATTTCTACAATCCAATCTTTTCTCTTTCGAACACCCAATTCTCTTCTTTTCTAAAATCATGTTCTCTCTTTTCTACAATGTATTCTCTCATTTTACACTCTGTTCTTTTCTCTTTTCTTACAATCCATTCTATACTCTTTTCTACAATCCCGTCATCTTTTAACAATCTATTCATTTCACTTTTTTACAAGCCATTCTAATCCTCCTATAACACATTTTCTCTTTTCTGCAATAGATTATTTTCTCTTTTCATGAACCCGTTCATTTTTCTGCAATTCTTTCTATTCCCTTTTCAACAATCGATTCTAGTCTTTTCTACAATATATTCCGGTATCGTTTTCTATAATTCATTCTACAACCAATGCTTTTCTCTTTCTACAATCTATTTTATATAAGTACTTTCACTAATTCGGCATAAATTTTCGATATCCAAGATTTAAAATGAATTTTAAAAAATAAAAAAGCATTCTTGAAGATTTCATTTTAGCTTTAATTGAAAGCTAAATGATTAAAACGGTAAGTAAGTAAAATATTCCAGTAAGTAAAATATTCTGGTGCATTTCAAATAAAAATTATATAGATTGGAATCTCAATTTTTTGGACGATTTAAGTAAATTAAGTTCTGAGGTGATGATAGCTAGTATGGATGACCAGAATTGACATAAATTTACAAAATCTGAATGAACGGATACCTAGTATTTTTTTACAAATTAACATATTTTCAGAAATTATCTAATATTTTATTGACTTTTAGTTATGTTTGAAGACGCTTTATCAAAAATCTTAAAAAATTAAAGTACTAAAAATGTTTCTTAAATTAATTTTAAAATTTAATAACAGATGAAGCCACAAAATTAACACATTGATCTGGAAATTATTTTATAATAATTAAAATGTTGTTTAATCATTAATAGTTAATAAATTTTAATTAACATTAGCTAAAAACATTTTTTTTATTTTTTCAATCCAAGCACGTGACCTTTTCTTAACAATGATATGTTTAGGCTATCACAGATGAAAAAAGGGAACAATTAAAGTGAAAAAATAAAAAAATATTTTAAAAATAGAATAGTAAAACGACGTTTATTAATTTTTTTCCAATTTGGATTCGTAAATTTCGTTTCCACTTAATTAAAATATCACATCCAGGAAAGAGCCCAATACAGAATTTTAAACGATTTTTAAACTATTATAAATTATTATAATTAAAATTTAAAAATAAAAAATTCTTGTAAAAATTCACTAATAATCAAAAAAAATTTCTTCGACAATAGTGTCCTTATTTACAAAAGCAATTAAAAGCTTTTCTAATTTTCTAATAATGTCTAGTTTGGTAACATTTTTCTTTTTGTTTACTATTCGGAGCAGATTTTCAGTTAGAAAAATAAAAGTTTGAAAACAAATTGGGTGATTTACATTTTCCAAGGAATCCTACTTTTAACTAATAAAAAGATTCAGAAAACAAAGGTATTTCGCGAAATTTCATGAAATTAAGTAAGTGGGGCTAACATATGTAAAAAAAAGCATATTTACCAAAATTTTCTAAAAATTCTTAAAAATTTTTAAAATAATTTCATTCATTTGTAAATAAGTCCTGAAAGTTTCACTAAAATACGGCAATTATCTGATTTTTGCAAATATTTCCAAATTAATGTGTTTTCAGTGGAAAAAGCGGCCAAAAAGTATTATGTAATTATTACCTGAGTCCGACGACGTAAACAAAACAAGATTTTGAATCAAAATTTCAAACGTGCTAAAAAGGATTTAAAAATTTCAAAAAATAATCAAAAAATACTTTGGTCTTTCATCTTAATAATATAGACATTTTGACGATAAAACTTTGTTTTTATTAAGTTTGTGGCCTTTTTCATTATGCTATGCTGTTTTCCCGCGAAAAATACATTTTTTTATATATTTTTCTAATCCATCTTTTTTTTCTTTTTACAATTCATTCTTTTTTTATAATCCATTTTTTCACTTTTTCTTTTCTACAATCCATTCTTCTTTCTTCAGTTCATTTCTTTCTTGTACAATCGATTATATTCTCTATTCTGTAATCTATTCAATTGTCTTTGTTATAATCGATTTTCTCTTTTCATCAATCCATTTATTTATCTTGCCTAAAACCAATTCTTTTTCTACGATCCAGTCTTTTCTCTTTTCTAAACTCCATTCTATTTTTTTTTCAACGTCCATTCATTTTCTTTTCTATCATAGTATATACATTTTTCTCCGTAATTTGTTCTGTTCTCTTTTTCTACAATTCATTTTTCTTTTCTACAATCAATTAATTTCTCGTTCCTACAATCCATTCTATACTCTTTTCATCAAGCCGTTCTATTTTCTTTTACTACAATAAATTCTTTCCTTTTTTCGAAAATTCATTCTTTTTACTTTCCTACAATCATTCTATACCACGTTCTGCAGTTCATGCTAATCAGTTTTCTGCAGTCATTTATTTTCTCTTTTTATTTATCTATTCGTTTCTCTTTCGTGCTATCCATTCTATTTTTCTACAATCGATTAATTTCTCCTTTCATCATATTATACTGGTACATAGATAAATAGAAAATTTGCCGATTATTCCCTGTCACTCTCACACAGGCATCAGAATACACCAACCTTTGGAACAAAATAAGCAAAATAAAGGAGGAGCTACCGTAGAGTTGAACTCCCCAGGACAAGGCTCCCGTCATCTGCAGGACATGACCTGCACGAAGATATGAACATGGCTCTGTGCCCTACACCGTAATACGTGAACACGGCAATAGAAAACAGATGCAACACTTTATCCCAGTTAGAATGTCGAGCAAGTGTATTCTGAGCTGGTATTTACTCATCTCGCAACAGTGGCAGGATGTGACATGAAGAAGTTTTTAATTTGCGATGTCCATATGCGGATATATGGGCCAAGGCCCCAAATTGCCCAATTTCTACGACCACTATCACGCTGATTGTTAACCACCAGCCCTCCTTCTTTAGTCCAACGATGGAGGTGCTGCTAAAGGATTTTGAATCCCAGGTACTAGGCATCCCACATAATTTTAAGAGAAAAAGAGGGCAGATCCTACACTTTGATCCCAGTCCGAAGGCCGAGAAGTGTGCTCTGAGCCGAAGCAGAAGTCTTAAGGAGCGGAACTTTAAAACGAAGAAAAGAGCACAGTCACTACTCTGATCACAGGTAAAAATCCTGGAGCCGACATATTGATTCCAGACAAAGAAAACAGATACTATACTGACTCGAGGTAGAAGTCATTTTTACGACAATAAATCATACAAAAACTGCTGTGTTGCAATAAATATTCTCTTCTAACTTAATGAATACTTGAAGGGATATAACGAATATTTTTGTGGAAACTTTTACGAGTTCAATAGAGAGTGGAGTTATATTTTTTAATGAATAAACATTTAGCCTTTGGCATTCCTTGCTTCAAACTTCATTGTGTAGGATTTTTTAAAATAAATTTTCCCTGTCTGATCAGTATTTCAATGATCAAACATCAGAATGCTGATTTTACGAAGTCGGTCGTGCTGAAAATTCGCCCTCACCACAAACTTGTATATTCATTAATAATATATATATTATATATAATATAATATTATATACAATTTAAGATTATTTATATATATAATGACACATATATTATTCGATAACATTGATATGTTATTTGGAGCGAAGACGGAAATAAGCACCAATACAATCAAACACAAAAAATGATTTCTGAGTCGGAGGATTCGCGCATCCTTCCGGTTAATAAATTAATTCTTTGAAAATAAATATTTAGCATTGTTCAACAAATTGCTCGTGATACCGCCGACAAAAAAAATGCTTCGTGCTCGATTTAAGAAGAGTATAAGAGTCTCCAGACTAGATAAGCAGTAAGAAGAAGGAGCGGCAACATACTGTAACAGATTCATGACACCATGGCTTAAAATAAATTCCCTTATATGGCTTAAAAGAAATTCCCTTTCTCATTCACTCGTCTTCCTCAGAAAGCTATGTGACACTTACACACTTTCTCACCAAGCTACGTGAAACTTACACTTTTCTCCTCACTTTCTCCCTTGCTTCTTTTTTCACACATACACGCGAAGAAATCACATTTCTTTTAATCCTAGCAACTACATATATTATTATTATTATTATTATAACTACTGTCCTCATGTTTGTTGTTGTTATCACAACGTTTCGGCCATTGTGTCGTCTGACTTTCACCAGGTGTATCTCAATCTGGGTTACCCACAGGGAATTCTGAACGGAACCCTTTATTTAATCTACGTGGGTAGATGTCTCGGAGAATCTCGTCTAGTTCTTATTTTTACTACCGCTCAGTTATTGCTCGCCTGCTTCTACTGAGTTCAAAGGATTGAACGTCTGATTACTGTATCATCAGATTCACGAACAAACACCTTAATTCACTAGGTTATTGTCCTATTAGGCTATTTCTCTGTGGTAAACTTAGAGCCTCATACCTGACCTGCTTGCTGATTAGTGCTGCTGTATATTGTATTTCTTTCTAACGAGGTCCTTATAATCTAGCAAATGAGCTGATTCTTTCAGATGCCTAACTTTCTAGTGTTCTTCCTTGTTCAGTATTTTCACTTCATTCTACAGGAGCTCATGAATACCATTTTCCCTCCATATATGATCAGCCATGCCTGATTTCATTGCCTCACCGCTCACTGCGGCGTTGTGATGTTCTTTTAGCCTTACTTTTAGAGGGCGGCTTGTTTCACCTTTATATTCTTTGCTACAACTACAAGAAATGGAGTACTCGCAATTCTTGGTCATGTTCTGCCCCGTGTTATGCTTTACTCGGCAGAGATTTCTCTGTAGATTAGAGCAACATCAGAATATTGATATTCGGCTGAAACTTAAAGATAAAGATAAGCATAACAGTCCGAATATAAATAGTGTAAATAACACACACACACACACACACACACACACACATATATATATATATATATATATATATATATATATATATATATATATATATAAAGAAACACGAAAACCTTAAAAATTCATATCAGTTATAATCTATTTCATGAATATTTTATATTCATCTCTTCAGACCGATATAACTACATATACACATATATACATATGAATACACGTACGCACATATGTTAGTACCCATATAAAAAATATGAATTAACTCTTCAAATGTATATCCCCAAATTCAATGTTTTTAGGGAATTTTAAATTTGTTTTTATGTCTACGCTTGAAAATAAGCCCATTTCTTTGATTCAATAATTTGTATATTTCATTTTCTTTTGGAAAAATAATGCCATGTCATTTTAGACAGTAATCATAATCGCTGAATAATAATTATAATTTTAAACTACTACTACTAATAATAATAATAATAATATCCAGCATAAATAAAATAATATAATAAAATAAAATATAATAATTAAAATATGGTAAATAATTCAATAAATCAACAAAGAGATAATTATAGAGATCAAATTTAGAATATGAAAATAGATAAGGATAAAAATAATAAAGATAATACTATTAATAATAATAAAATATAAAAATATAAATTATAAAATAAAAAATAGAATTATAAATGATGTAGGTATCAGCAAGACAATCACATAAATAACTAAATATATCTACAGATCTATATATAAAAATGTGTGACAAGCAATATAATTACATATACAAATGCATTCATATGAATACGCGTCCACACATATGTTAGTACCCATATAAAATTGTGAAGGAACACTTCAAATTCAATTCCCTCAAATTCAATGTTTTTAGGAAATTTTAAATTTTAAATCTACGCTTGAAAATAATTTCATTTCTTTGATTCAATAATTGGATAGCATTTTTATATTTAATTATTATAATTTTCTCTTGTATGCATAGATTACAGCTGTTCCAGAGTTGAGACTGACAGTTGGTATCCCATTTAGCTTGTGGGATGAAGCCTTTATCTTTAAGTTTCCAATAATGTTTAGATAGTGCAGTTTGGTGCCTTTAAGAATGTAATGGCGAAGGAATGCCAGTAATTGTAGAGTCTCTGTTTCCAACTCCCAGTGGATATCCTTATGTAAACTTTTTTTAGAATTAATATTTATAATAAAAAATGGTAGATTGTTATACCACGTTTTCCGAATTTCAGATACCTCAACAATTACAAGACGGTGGATATACACTTGAAGTGTTGATTCATATTTTTATATTGGTACTAACATATGTGTGTACGTGTATTTATATGTATGTATGTGCATATGTAATTATGTTGATTGTCATACACTTTTATATATAGGTCTGTAGATATATTTAGTTATTTATGTGATTGACTTGCTGATGCCGACATCATTTATAATTTAAATTTTTTTATTTAATAATTTATATTTTTATAGTATTATTTTTATCTTTATTTTTATATTCTTAATTCGTTCCTATAATTATCTAAATTTATTAGTTCTCTTTATTTATTTATTTTATTTATTTATTTTATCATATTATTTTATTATTTATTATGTTATTATGTTATTTTATTTATGTTGGATATTATTATTATTAGTAGTTTAAAGTTATGATGATTATTATGTGATGACGATTGCTGTCTAAAATGACATGACGTTATTAGACAATTTGCTGTAACTCTTTAAACCTAACCCCCCCACTCTCTCTTTCTTTCTTCCCTTAATTTTGAATTTTTTTTATATTTGAAAATTTTTTATTTTTCTTTCTTCCTTTGTTATTATTAAAATGTTTTCCTTTTTCTTTTTTCCTTCTCTCTCTCTCTCTCTCTCTCTCTCTCTCTCTCTCTCTCTCTCTCTCTTGTCCTAACATATCAGTCTGGATGGATTGATTCCATTTCTAAAAAACACTTTCAGTCTGAAGAGATAGATATAAAAATATTCATGAAATAAATTGTAACCGATATGGATTTTTATGGTTTTTCTTGATATATCATTATATTGCTCTGTAACTTGCATTGAGCTCTCTTGGATTAATGTCCTCTTTGAAATTATCCTTCCCAATGAAAAATTGGTATGATATATATATATATATATATATATATATATATATATATATATATATATATGTTAGACTGGAACACAAGTTCGCTGCGTTTTTCAATACGTGGCTTTTGAACACACGATACTGTTTTACGTGAGCCACATGCGCTATGTCCGTAGAACAACAGGAATCAACTCATATATAAATCATCAATCAACGAAGTGGGTATCCCGGTGTGAAGCATATGTTATATTTTGTAAGTCTCGAAAGCAACAGTTCGGACGGCGGTCAGAGACTGCGAGGCGAGCCAGTCCATAGAGGGAAATTGGAAAAGCTGGATGTGCGGGAAAATTAGAGCAGGAGGGAAAGGATATAAACCATTATAGAGGTCGACAATATTTGACCGTGGTAGACTGTGGCTCTAGTCGATTTTCCATTTGGCGGCCGTTACCGTGTCAAGACTCTGCCAGCATCATCCAGCAGCTGGGATCGTTATTCTACTAGAGAGTGCCACCTGCCGGGCTACTCATCGACGATGGTGCGACGTTCTCTTGAGAGATGTTCGCGATGTT